ACCTATCAAAAATTATGGGATATAACTAAAACAATGCTAAAGGAAAATTACAGCTTTACATACCTACATTAAAAGAAAGAAATGTGTGAAATCAGTGGTATAAGATTCTATTTAAGAAGCTAGGGGGAAAGAGCACATTAAAACTAAATTAAATGAAAGAAAATAAGAACAGAAATTAATACAATATAAAATGGAGAATCAAGAAAATCAGCAAAGCCAAGCCCAGCTGGAGTGGCACAGTGGTTGATCATCGACCTATAAACCAGGATGTCACAGTATGATTCTCTGTCAGGGCACATGCTGGGTTGTGGGGTTGACCTTTAGTGTAGGATGTGCATGAGGCAGCTGACCAATGATTCACTCTCATCTTTAATATCTCTCCTTCTCCCTTCCTTTCTGAAATCAATAAAATTATATAATTTAAAAGAAAATCACAGAGGCAAAAATTGGACCTTTGAAAAGATTAATAAAATTTACTAATCTATAGCAAGATTTACCCAGATTAAAAAAAAAAAAGACAATAGCCAATTTTAAGAATGAAAGAGGGAAGATTACTACAGAAGATACAGATTAATTAAAAGGTTAATAAAGGAATATGTTAAAATAAAAAAACCTGTGCCAAAAAAAAGTTGACAAGCAGGATGAAAAGAACTAATTTCTTGAAAAATAGTACTTATAAATACACAAAAGTAGAAATGGAAAATCCAAATAGCCATTAAAGGAATAGTATTCTTAATAAAAATCCTTCACACACATGAAAAAGAACCTCCAAGTTCAGATGGCTGCACCGGTGAATTCTACCAGTCACTTAAGGAAGAAATACAAACTCTTAAAAATAGAGGGGGTAGAAACACTCTCAGCTTGGTATATGACTCCAGCATCATGCTGATACCACATCTGCCAAGCATATTTAAAATTAAAGCTCAATATCTCTCATAAAGACAGGTACAAAAAAGGATAACACTTCATGACCAAAAGGTTTGGGTCAACTTGGTTTCAACATTCAGAATCATCCAATGTAATTCACATTTTCAGAATAAAGGAGGAAAATCATATGGGATTATCTCTCAACAAAGAAAAGAAAATTTGATAAAATTCAACATTTGGTTAAAAAGTCCCAAGAAACTAGGACTTATAAGGGAACTTAGTCTGATAAATAATATGCATGAAAAAACTCAGAGCTAACATCATCATTTTTAATGATGAATCATTGAACATGTTTTCCTAACATATGGAAAAAGGCACAGATGTCTGCTCTCATAATTTCTACTCAACACTGTTCTGGAAGTCCTAGTCAGTGTAATAAGCCAGAAAAATAAATGAAAGGTGGAGAGTTGGAATAAAAATATAACTTTTTATTTGCAGATGACGAAAGAACGTACGTAGAGCCCAAGCAGGTTTGGTTCAGTAGATAGAACGCAGGCCTGTGGACTGAAGGGGCCCGGTTTCAATTCTGGTCAAGGGCACATGCCTGGGATGTGGACTTGATCCCTAGTGGAGGTGTGCAGAGGCAGCCAATCTATGATTCTCTTTCATCATTGATGTTTCTTTTTCTTTTTCTCTCCCTCTCCCTTCCTCTCTAAAATCAATAAAAAATATATTAAATATATAAAACAAAGGATGTACGCAGAACACCCTATGGACCCAGTTGATCTCAGGCTTTCGGCCGAGGGGAGGAGGTGCGGGCCTGGGCACTGTCAGCTGCTCCACACACAAGGAGCCCAGCCTGGTTACTGTTCTCCTGCCCCGGGCTCTCCAATTCAGGAGCTCCAGCCTGAGGCAATGGTGTGCACTCCTGTGCATCCTCATTCCCTTCTGCTCCGGCTCTACAAAAAGCTCCTGGCACCATGCACGCACCCTGTGGTCTCCCCATATATCAGTCGTAGGTGGCCTAGGGGCCTAGAAAAGCTGCCCACCAATCCAATGATAAAAGCAAAGGCAAGGCAGACTCTAAAGATGCAGACACAAATGAGTACCAAAGAAAGGACCAACAGAAGTCTCTGAGGAGAAGACTAAAGTGACTGTCCCAGAGGACCTCATGGTTTTCACAATGGGCCTGAGAATCTTTGACCTTTGCCCCTTAGGCCAGATATTGGATAGTTTAGATATTTACTGGATACTAATCAGGACATACTTGGTATTTGTATCTAAAATGTATTAGTTATATTTAATGATCTCATTCCCGAGTTCCTTTTTCATTAAATTGGCTTTCATTTCTATTATTGTAGTTTTAATAATTGAACAAATAGGCATTGGTGCCAGTCAACACTTACTAACTCAGCACCCAAACATCGTCAGGGGCCTCTAGCTTTTGAAGTAGGTGCCTCAAATTGGAGTAGAGCGTATTTTTACTGTGAAACAGTGCAGCGAGACCGTGTGGTGAAATGAGGTTTGGGAGATGATAATGACTTTAAACATAAGGTTATAATCACTGCCCAACACAATGGAGCAGCTCATCTATAAGAGTAGTAATTGCTGCTTACTGCTCTGGAGAAGACAGCGAAGACAGGAGCTGGAGGACATTTCTTTGAAAAATGGAATATCTCTTACATAAATGTCTAATGTATATTAGAAAATTCTAAAAAAAAAAAAAGGAAGAAACCCCTATGTAATCTACAAAAACACTCATTAATTAATGAAGTCAGCAAGATCACAGGACACGAGGCCAATATACAAAAAATTAATTGTGTTTCTATATAGTAGCCAATGAAGTAAAAATGAAATTAATAAAATAAAACTAAAACATTTTAAAAATACATTTAACAATAGCATTAAAAATGCGATACAAAGGAAAATTTTTAGCAAAATAAAATATGAGAACTACAGAATATTGCTGAGAGAAATGAAGTCCTAAATAAATGGAGAAATAGGCCATCCTCACGCACTGAAGAGTCAAAATAGCCATTCTCCTAAACTGATCCGTAAAGTCAAAGAAATCACAACCAAAGTTATAGGGAATTGTACCACCAATGAGTCACCTTGCTTATTTCCACTTGACAATTCATGTTTGCTAACAATAAGACAGTGTAGCAATGATATGTAAAGAAATGAAGATAAAGTGTAGAATGTCCTTGATAGCTCAGAGTTAGCAAACAATGCAAAGCCTATGGGAGGGTTAAAGAACAGACGGTGAGAATTGGCTTTAAAGGGAAATGAGGACTGGTAACTAGATGGCAGCCAGAGGTAAGTACAAGGACAGGAAAATGACCATCACTCCAGAGGAAGAGGATGGAAGTAGCACATTTTTAGAGTCATGTGAAGACCACATTACCTTATATTTTCCCCTGAGATTCAGGACTATTGCCTCAATCCTCCTGCTTTCTGAGTTCAGGAATATGGAAGTCACCATTGATATATGATACAAACGCTTATCCATCCTATTTCAAAAATGCATCTTACAATTATCTACCTCTCTCCAGGTCCTAGTCCAGACCACCATCATCTCTTACCTGGATTTAAATGGTCTCCTTTCTGCATCTCTCATTCTCCTCTAAGCCCATCTTATCCATTCTCCACACAACAGCCAGAGAGATCTTTACAAACGCAAACTGGGTCACAGCACTGTTTTGGTTACACCTCTAATGCATTCCTGTTATATCTGAAGTCACAATCTTTAACTTGGTCTTGAGGACCCAAATGATCTGGCATGGTGAGCCTTCCTGATGTAAGCTCTATGAGATGGCCCTCCTCCATCTCATTTACCATTCTGTCCCAGCACATCATAGGTGATCAATACAGGTGGAAGGAAGAAGAGAGGAAGGGAAGATAGAAGGGAGGGAGGGAGGGAGGGAAGGAGGGAAGGAGGGATCACGTGTAAAAGTATCAGTACTTGTTTCTTGAGGGGCCCTGTCTTGCCAGGAAATTAAAGCTCTTTCTAGACCAAATCTTGAGATATGTGGATTAAAAATATATTTGTTTTCCCATTGTGAAGGGAAAGGAAAGACAGAGGATGGGTGCAATACACAAAGTGTGCATTATATAAACAAAGGGAGGAATACAGGGGGAAAAGGACTGGAGAAGGAAGAGAGATTTCATGTAAAAATTAAATCCTTGGTAAGGGCAGTGGGGAAAGATAGAAAGAATGCACCCAACACACACACAAACAAAAAACTATCACAAGAGCAGGAAAAAACGGTAAATAAACTGAGCGAGCAGCAGACAAGGCCAGCAGGTTCCTAGGAAAAATACTAAGTTAGTATTTCTATGCAGTTTGCAAAGGGGTTGTTGGGGTCCCAGCAGTGTGCCTAGCAGCAGACATGATGCTCTGAGAACTGAAGATGGCTCGGCAGCAGAGCGGGGGCACATTAGGACAGAAGCACAAGACAGTGAAACACAGAACTGCCACCTCTGCCTGGTGGACTGCTGCCAATTTCTTATGTGGGGGAGAAAGAGTCACTTAAACTAGATTTGTGGCATACGTTTACTTGTCGATAAGGTGGTGTCAGATTTTGGTCATTAGTTGTGAGTATGTAAAGTGGATGGATGATGAAGTAACAAGCTCATTTCAAATAACCCCTTTAGGCTGCAAATCTCAGTTTAAAAAGATAGTCAGCTTGATGGGGTATCAGCATTAGCCACTCACACAGCAGAATCCTGTGTGCTTGAATGGCTAGCAACGGGATGGCACTAGGACTAGGGGGACAGTTCTGACACCCAGCACTTCTGGTGAGGAGCTGGTTTCACCTCTTGAAGTTGTCCTAAAACAAGGTCCTGAGGTACCTGGCCAGGACACTGAGGCCTAGAAAGCTCTATTCCTCTTGGCTCAGTGTGCATCTCTTCACTCCTCTACCTGTGCTCTGGTGCATGCACACACCTCTCCACTACTGCCCCCACCCCCGCCCCCAAATACATTTACCTCATTCTTGCTCTCTCATTCTCCATTTGGATTTCTCTCTCCTTTGCTTTTCAACTTGAACTATAAAGATAATTTTTGGTTCTGAAAAACAAATGGTCACCCAAGTCCCCTCAGAAAGCCCAGAAGCAGAGCCCAGTTTCTCTACCTGTTCCCTTCGAGCTCACACACATAAGTCACTACTGGGGACCAGTCGAAGGCCCCAGGCTCTTTCTTCAGCCACTTCTCTAGCTCCTGCAGGTTCTGATCAGTGTAGTCAGAAGCAATGATCGTCTTGAAGGATTCACAAGCAGAGAGGAGCTGATAGATGGTGGGGCCAGAGCCAATGTCAATCAGGAGGTCTCCCTTCACACCAGCTGGTTGAGAGGAAGGAATGAGGAAGGGGAATTAGGCTTTATATGGTGCCTGTAGAGCTGACTTGCGCTGTCTTTGCCAGCATTAGGATGGAGAGCCCCAGGGAGAGCCCCAAAGACAGACCACCTCTCTCATAGATCATCATTAGTCACTACTATTCTGTCAAATCTTTTTTTCAAATAGATTTTCATTTTCTGTTCCCCTATCAAGAGTGGAGGCATGCTGCTTAAAACTATTAAGGAACACTTTTGGGGAAAGTATTTTTTTTTTAATTTGAGTTTATATAATGTCTTCATCCAGTTCTTCATATGTTGAGAGATCTTTATCTCATGCATATTCACAATAGTCCATTGAGTTAGGAACAGAATAAGTATTAGAACCTCTAGTCACGTAGCAAATCCATGTAGAATCAAGGTTAGAACTCCCTTCTTCTGGTTTCCCTTTAGTGTGACCAAACAAGATAATGGATATATTATAAAAGCACTTTGTAAACTGTAAAATATCCATGCCAACATTACTTTCCATCTTAGCTCCATAAGAAGGTGATACCAAAAGGGCTGTTAAATAGCAATGACTAGACTAAAAATCCAATCATGCCCTGAGACTCACATTTTGGGGTGAGGAGAAGAGATGGGAGACGCAGACAAAAGGCAAACTTACCCACACAGAATATATTGAAAAGCTTTTTCAGAAGAAGCCTAAGAATCTGGTTTTCTGCGGTGTGTGTGGACCCAAAGCTGTAATATTTTTCTAGGTAATCTCGAGGGTTAAAATGGCTCAGATAGGTGTCCTTGGAGGTGAAGCCAGACTCCATTGTCTCACTCCTATGCCACCTGTCCACTGCCCTGCCTCCCTCTCCTCCAGAAGCCAGGGAGCGCCTGCAGAAACGGTCCTTCTGAGTCTCATGTTTTTAACATTTCTTCTGTCAGTGCAGCCCACCCCTTGGAGAGAGGTGTTTGGTTAAACACTAACTGAAAGAAATATACCAAAAAAGTTTGGCTGTTCTAGGAAGTGATGAAATTCCTGGGGAAGGGATCCTGGCAAAGGGGGGAGTGGCGGGGGCAGAGCCATGAGCTGCATGCAATACTGGCCAAGGGGCAAAGTTCAGCTCGGAGGGATTATACACAGGAGAAATCAGCTGGGCTCCCGGGGAAATGATTTAACTCATAGAAGAACTACTAGGTCCAGAGAGGTGGGCCCCGCAGTGCATCATGCTTCTCTTCTCACAGTGATTATCCCAGGAAAGAGAATCACAGAGAATGGTTTAAATATAAACATGTTAAAGAAAGGGGAGAAGGACAAGGATAGGAAATGTATTCAGGGCTGAGGAAAGTGGGCTAAAGAAGGAGTCTCAGATGAGGTCTGGGAAAAGGAAAGGCGAAGGAGCAATTTTAAAATCCTGAATGAGGGGGAGATGTGATGTGGTGATAGACTAGGTGGAAGCTATACTCACCTCCTCCTGGGACCAAACTGGAATTAAAACTAAATTATAGAGTAATCATCCTGAGTAACCCACTGAAGGCTAGCTGGAGAGAAGACTTGTAACCATGGATTACAGAAGAAGCTACATGGAGACTGCCACTCACCTGGGCTCCAGCAGAGGGGAGGTGGAGCAGACTAGAGTCCCATGAGGAGAGACTGGGGTTTGAGACTCTGGGGAGGGAGCTGAAGGGATAGCTGCCAGGATCTCTGTGCTGGGTCATGCTCCCACTCCGCAAATGCCATCTTTCTGGAGTGGAGCATTCCCCGCTGTGTGGCATCACCCTGGGGGAAAGCAGTAGCCCCACCTCTGGACTCCCTCTCATCCACATTGTGGAGCTTAGAGTACAGCCAGAGGTTCTTTCAGTGACTGAGCCTAACAGGCAGCTAGCAGGTGGAGGTAGGCAGAGGCAGACTTGGGGTACCTTAGAACTTTTGCTGACCTGCCCTTGGACCTGGTGCTGCTAAAAGCTGGCCTTGGTGTGCTGCTTGGTCCTTCCTGTGCACACCCAAGCCCAGCAGAGGTAACCACAAACTGTGGTTTGCTTGTGGCTCCAACAGGTTGCTGAGGGCCAGTCACAGGCTGCATCTTATATTGACCTGCACCAGAGTCTCTCAAAAGAGGCTCAGAATTAACACACCCTCTGGCCACTTTCAGACAACATCACAGCAGCATATCCAAAGGTGTATCTCGGCAGGCAACAGGCCCTACTGATGTGAATCTGCTTCATGTGGTCAGCACCTGCACAGTAACTCATATGCAATGGCCGGGGTTGAATCTCCCAGTCAGCCGGCCATAGAGTCAATCCCACATATGAATGGCCCAATAGGAATCAAGACTAAATTACAACAGGAAGGTCCACATAGCTCACACAAGGAACATTTCTGGAGCACCCAGCTCAGGTTATCAAGGAGACAGCACCCACAGGACACCTACTACATAAGGCCACCCCATGAAGATTGAGAGTCATAGCAGCTCTACCTAATTTATAGACACAGCAAGCACCTGAGATGCTGCCTGAGGGATTTCTTTGGTTGCAGGTATATTCAGCCTCCATGCAGAGCAGGCCAGTAAAGCTAGGGAGCTAATGCAGCTAGTGAAACAACAGTTCTGAATAAATATCCCAGCCTCCTTGCTTCTGGATGGGAGTGCTGAAACATGTTCTCCATACTCTCCCAGAGATCCCAGCTGCCCATAGCAGTAACTGGTTCCCCAGTGTAGCCTGCATTGGCTTTTTTTCTTTCTGTCTCACTTTCTCATTCACTCAGTGCTTCATGGGATCCAAAGTAAAATACCTACACAGCAATTTAGGCACCACAAAAAGACTAGAATCAAATTGCATTAACTTTGAATTAGCAGAGGAGAGGAAACGGACCCAAAACATATCAATTCAGAAGAAGGCAAAAACGGAGAGAAAAAGAAACACAGACCTGTTAGAGCAAATACAAAGTATAAATTAAGAAGGTCATTTGTGGTCAGTTGAAAACAGACAAAAACATCAGTAAAAATATGTGACAGCAGGATTGTTTAAAATAAAGTATAGTCAACATACAATATTATATTAGTTCAAGTGTACAACATTTATATTCTTTATTATGTGATCACCACAATAACCACCTATCACCATGCATAGTTATTATGATAAAACTAGAGGTCTGATGCACGAAATTTGTGCAAGAGTAGGTCTTCCTTCCCCTGGCTGCCAGCACCGGCCTCCCTCTGGCACCCAGGACCTGGGCTTCCCTCATAGCCCCAGCTTCATCTGGACGACCAGTCTAATTAGCATATTATGCTTTTATTATTATAGATTGATTATTTTCTCTTTGCTTTGAACAGTAGCTTTAATCAACTTGACTTAATGGACATACATAAAATATTGCATCCAACACCTACACATTCATTTCAAGAATATTGAGGCCATTAATAATTACTATACTACTCATAAAGCAGGCCTCAACATATTTCAAAGGAATAAAGTTAGAGTATATTCTCTGACCAATGCATGTAAGTTAAAAGTAAAAAATTAAAAGATAACTAGAACAACCTCATTTGTTTGGAACTTAAGGAATATACTCATAAATAACCCATAGGTCAAACAGCAAATCATATTGAAAATTATAAAGCCTTTTGAACTGAGTAATAATAAAAAACTCTATATACCAAAATGTGAAGCTAAGGCAGTATTTAAAGGGAACTCTATTTCTCAAACGTGTATACTACTGAAAAAGGAAGACTGAAAGTCCGTGAGCTTATGAAGTTACAAAAGAACAGCAAAAGGGCATACATAGAAAGAAAAAAATAACAGAACAGAAATTAATGAAATATAAAGCTAAGATGCAATAGGGAGGATCAGCAAGGCCCAAAAGTTGGCTCCCTGAAAAGACTAATAAAATTCACAAGTTTTTGTTTAGAATGATCACGGAAGAAGAGAGAAGGCATATACACCCAATTTTAGGACTTGAAAAGGGAATCTCGTGGCAGATGCTGCAGGTTATAAGATATAAGATATTGTGACTAACTTTATGCCAATGTATTGAAATTTTAGATTTACAAGGTCCTAAGTAAATATATAACACTTACAAAACCCGAAGAGACCATCAAAGAATTTAAACTGAAAATTGTTCCTACATAAAACCTTCAAGGCAAGTGATATAACCTATTATATGTATATAGGTTTCTGTCCTCAAGTCTAAGGGAATAGCTTTATTTATAATCCATAACTTTGTTTACATTAACCTGTAAACCCCTTTAGGTCACCCTAACCACATCCTGCAATTTGCTCAGAGTTTAACAGAAGGGCTGAGACTTAAACTTTCCTCCCCGACAAATGCCCTCCCTGACATTGACGAATGCCAGACCTGTTTTTTTGTGGTTTTTTTTTTTTTTTTTTTTTTTTTTTTTTTTTTTTTTTTTGTGTGTGTGTGTGTGTGTGTGTGTGTGTGTGTGTGTGTGTGTGTTTCAGGGAGAAGCCAAGAGGATTTGTAGAACAGAGGGGCACTAATCTGGCTGAAACCAGCCATGGCTGCCCACAGCGACCTGCAGGAGTCTACACTGACCTCTACATAAACTTTTCTCATTACACCTTCATTACAATATCCAGGTCTCTTCCCAGGCAGAGATTTCCTGCCATTTCTGAACAGGTGATGTCTGCACAGGCGTGTGTCTAGCTGCGTGTGTGATGACGACGTTCTCCTGGATGCTCAGGCACAGTTTCCTTGGCTACTAACTGCTGAGCAACTGGACTGGCTCAATTACTCAGCTTTCAATCACATTTTACAATAGCTTCACAAATGAGTTCTGCCAAATATTCAAGGAACCAGTAATTCTAATCTTACACAAAATCTTTCAGAGAATAAAAAAAGAGAAAACACATTTCAACTAATTTAAAAAGTTTAGCAAAACCTTAATTTCAAGTTTATTTATGAGAAAGAAAAACTGTAAGTTGAAATCACTCATGAACATAAGTACTAACTTTCTAAATAAATTATTGTCTAGTCAACAAACTAGCAAACATTTTCATGGCATCTACTTTGTTCTAGGCACTGGCTTGGACATATTCCTAAAGATTACAGCAGTTCTGTGAGTTAGGTACTATTGCTGCCCCTGTTTCAACATACCAGGACGCTGAGGCAAGAGAGGTTAAGTAACTTGCCCAGGTCACACTGCTAGATGGTGGGACAGCCAGGTTCATATTGATAGATCTGGCTCAAGCAGGCCAACTCAAAAGCCTATTCTTTTAGTAGTTACACTATGACCACAGTGGGTTTATCCCAGGAATAAAGACTTAACATTTAATAATCATCAATTAATATAAATCATCACATTTACATATTAAAAGAGATACCTTCTGATCAAATCAATAGATATGTAGAAAAAACAACTCAAGTTCAACATCCATTCATAATAAAAACAGCTCTTGGCAAACTGAGAATAGGAGGGACCTTCCTTAATGTGATAAGGATTAGCTACAAAAACTTTAACAAACCTTATACCTTATTATAACAAACATCATACCTTATAATGACTCATTGTAAAGCTTTCCCTTAGACTTGAGGACAGAGACAAGGATGCTAATGATTACCAGTTTTATTCAATATTCTACTGTAGTCTGGGACAACACAGTAGATAGGGAAAATATAAAATATAAGGATTGGAAAGAAAAAACATAAGATAAGTATTATGATAAGCAGACAACAATTATGGTATGTATGGGAAATTAAAAAATAATCTATAAATTTACTAGAATTAATATTAGTTTAGCAAGGTTTGTGGATATAAAATCAGTATAAAAATTAAATTCATTTCTAACAGGCAACAGTTATAAAATGAAATTTAAAACAGACTTCACGCAGAATGGCATTAGAAAATATGAAATATCTACGAATAAATTCAACAAAATATGTACAAGACATTGATGGAGAAAATTGTAAAAT